ACCCAGCATCCTTGGGCTCTTTGTCCCTTTCCTGCTCTGCACACTGCCCTCTCTCCAACATTTTCAACGGTTGCATGCGCACACTCACACACACCAGGCTACCACGTGAGCGATTTCTCAATTGCTGATAAATGACACACCGTGAGCTATGTAACTGAAGGGCTGATGCTCGCATCGTTAGACCGGTACCTCCAACTCCCATGCAAATAGTCCAGCTGCGTGGCCTTCCGCGCGTACCTTGCTGCTCTTTCGACGGTCTCAGAGAGTCGAACGGAGAAGATCGTACATCTGTGAGGTCGTTCGCGCTCGCGTTTTCATGTCCATTCGTATTCCGTCGCTGGCCAGGGTGGAGCCTCCACAGCAGATGCGACAGCCCCGACGCCAACTGGGCCGTCTCAGACCGCCGAAACAAACCCGGACGCCTCGTCTGCCCGAATGCGCTCCGCGACGAGTTTGACGTATCCACAGAAACGAGCTCCGGGCGCGACATGTACATGCTCGGGCTCGACGCAGAGTTCGCGAGCATGGGCCCGTCACCGAACGCGATGCCGCTATCAGTGCTGTTGCTCGTCGCCTCCGTATTCAGCGGAGCCGGCCCTCGCTCACCCTGGTTCTCCATCAACGGGTCCTCCACGGAGCTGCCTGCCTCCGATTGACCTCTGTGCAATTTTTCAGCGGTGCGGCACATCAGGCGAGACTGCGGGTCAGGTGGATGCTCACCGGTACACGACCACCTCCTGCTCTCCCGGCTCCTTCAGATACCGGTGCTAATGATGACATTATTGGATGGTATCTACTCCAAAAGACCACTCTATGCATAAACGCAGCCATGACAAGAATGCTAGTAATCTATATGTGACCATGCGACAAGAATCAGTGCGTGCTTAGTGTACAGTTTTGCTATCCTTCCTATGGGAGCGGCGGTGGAGACAAAACCTAGTGTGCGTCCCCGCATGACGCTCGGCCGCCTAGTGTTGGTGATGACAGGTGGGGATGACCACCTCGGGTTAGACGGAGCGTTGTCCCAAGACAGCGGTCTCGCCATTAGATATGCATGACCTGCGAAGCTATCTTGCTGCGTGCACGGATCGCTGGGCCCTTGAAGAACAACACCTGCAGCAACCAATGAACAAAGCAATCCCACTACACAGCGAAGGACGATACTCACAAACGGGATCGGGATCATGACCACTGCGATGAGCGCGAACAGCGTGTTCGCCCAGTGGTACGTCAGCCTGGCAAACATCTGTGTCGTGAACATCGGGAACGCCATGCCCATCAGGTTCCGGAAGAGACTCTGGCCGGCGAGCGTGGATGACGCGAACGTGCCGTAGCTACAATCGAAAGCAATTGGTGAGCGGAGAGGTGGTAGGGACATTGAAAGAGGTACGTACCAGTCCGCAAGATAGGTGAACACGGCGAGGTAGATGATGAACAGTGCCCACATGATGAGCTGCAGCGAGCTAGGGGTGAGGATCCGCTAGTCCGCAACGGAATGGTGGTGTACGTACAACAATGCCGATCGCCGGAGCGATCCAGTACACCTGAGTGTACGTCGACCAGGCGAAGATGAACATGCCAATCGGGAAGAGGATGGCGGCTGCCATTGGCGCATACAGCCGTGCTTCTGGTCCTCGAGTGGCAACGTTTTTACTGTGCAACGGCGACTGTGGGCTAAGCTCATCGTTTAAATTCACAACAGCATGACGTACCTATACATCTTCTCCTGAATCACATTCGTGCACAAGCCAAGCATGGCGCCTATCCTGTGAGTAGTTCAAGTTGTGAGTAGTTGAACACCTCTGTCGAGCTAGACCATGTACGTAATGGTGATGAACGCCGAACCCTCCTCGCCCGCGTTGAAGTGATGCAGTGTTCGGAAGACGGGACCAATGGCCCTAGGCGACATTATAGTCAGTCTGGCATTCCACCGATCAGGGAGAACGTGACCCACTCTATCATGACGTAAAGGATTCCCCATGCGAATCCGACCCACAACTGCATATCAAATGGTGATCAGCAGAGCTAGAAGGCAGAGAAGTCCCACAACGCACCGTGAAGCTCGCAATCACAGGCTCAGTCAATAGCAGATCTAACACGTGAATCTTGGCGTAAGCGAACAGCACCTTCGTCGCATGGGAAAGATCTACTCACAGATCGGACGCGTGCAGGAGATATAGATGAGTGTACCCAGCGACGCACGCTCGTCCTCAATACGCGCACGGATTCTCTTGTCACCGGTTTCCTTGCGCATCTTTTTCGCCAACCGCACCAGCAGCACCGACGCACGCGTCTCCTTCATAAAAACCGGCACAGCGACCACGAACACGCCCGTGAAGCTAAAATGCAGAGAGCTTCAGGACTAGAAGCATGGAGAATAGGGAGGATACTACCATACATAGCATGTATCCACTGAATCCAGCGCCATTCGAGGTGCGGGTTCTGCTCGATCCAGCCGGAGGCAAGGCACCCAACGCCGGTTGCGCCGATGGCAGCAGCGGCGAAGGAAGCCATTGCTACACCACGTCTACAAAGGAGCGTCGCGCTCAGTATGTTGTAAGCGCACGCCAGTGAAATGGGACGTACTCTCGTGTAGAGAAGATGTCAGCGACGGTGCCGCCCACCATGGTCGAACCCGTTGAACCAAAGGCGCCTGCAAAGAAACGCGCTATTAGGATTGTTTGAATGTTCTTGCCGCTGAAATCATCTTGAGCGTCGATGATTATGATTCGAGCCACAACGGTACTCACACTGCCGTAGCAATGGTGAAAAGCAGGAAACCAATCCCACTGCACAGATACAATGGCTGTCTACCGAACTCTTCGCTGAATGACGCGGTGACAAGAGGCACTACACCAAATCCAAGACAATATAGTGAGATGCCGAGAGTAGCCTGGAAATCCGTGCAATTCAGATCGCGCGTCATTGACGTGAAACCGAGCGCGTATGATCCCGAAGAGGATGCTGAATAAGCTGTCAGCATGCAATACGTTTATTGCTGGAAGCAATTCACTCACCGACAAGGACGGAGAACAGGCACGCGGTGAGCAGGATTGCCTGCTTCCGCGCCGGAGAAAAGTTCGCAGGATCCTGCTTGTCGCCCTTCTCGAACTCGATATAGAGAGGTTCCAGGGAAAAGTCCTCCGACTTTTCCTTTTCATGCAAGCCCTCCTTGTGAAGATGGTGGTCTCGGTGGTGGATGTAGTCTTCGAGCTGCTGTACATAGTTCTCGTCGAGGACCTCGTTGTCCGGTCTGTCTGCGGGGTTAAGGCGCGGGTCCACGGGTTCCGTGACGTCCTCAAGGCTCCGGAGGACGACGTGGTTCACGTTCTCCTCGGCGAGGGTGGCCTCTTCGTCGCGCGCGTGAGTCATGGCGAGAAAGATAGCGAGAGATGGTGACAAGGAGCATGCCCTGATGATGGATGGGTTTATATCGCGCCATGCTTGCCGTGCAGATTCATGATATGATACCCCACGGAGCGCACCTTAGATGCCGTCTCGGGATGTTGCCGGGGATTGAACCGCCGCACGATTGGCTGGGAGAGCTCGGAGACGAAACTCTGAGATTGATCTCGTCCGACGTGGACTTCGCGTCGGAGCACCTCCACTGCTGATAGCTGTCCCTACGCGATCATGCGTACTTACTCCTTCTATGCGCCGACGCTTGATTCTATTTGGCGCTCTGTAACGAGGATTCCATGTCCAAACAGCGATATGCGATCATTCCCAGTGGCGCGTGACACGCACCACTTCAGCCCTGGCTTCGAGACACGACTGCTTTGATCGCATGCCAGCGGTGCTCACGATCATCGAACGCTCACGATGCCTTGAGTGTCTGTCCTCGTTCGACTCAGCCGTCCTCCTTCGCATCCATGCCCAACGTCCGTCTCAAGCCCCCACACCCGAGCTCGCTCACCCACAGCCTCGTCCACCGTCAGAGACCACGCAGAGCTCGGCGCGCTCCTCTCGGACAAGAGGTGGGCGATCAGCAGAGGTGCGTTCAGCCGCGACCGCTCGGTCTCCCAGTCGCAAACGCGCAGGCCGTCTGGTTTGCGTTCTCCAGCACAAGGTGCCCGTTTGTGTCAGGGCGACGGAGGCGGTCCAGAGTTGACGAGGTATTAAAGACCGTGGACGTTTGCCGATGCACGACCAGGTACGCCATGCAGTGGACTCTTCGTGCATGCAGAGGATGCTCACCTGTGTCTGGCTATACTGCACTGTCCGTAGCTACTCGTACTCACCTGCACCCGCCGCGCGTGTCTGTTCTTCACCCAGTGCACATCCACCTCGCCCGCCGTGCTCGTTCTTGACAACGCCTTGCGACGACACCACGCTATGTGCACGCTCACCATCCACACCGTCGTCGACACCATTCAGGCAGCCACCAACACGCCGATGGCCGGTCCGCTCCTCGCAGTTGCTTGTGATAACAAGTCGACTGGAGTACGGTGCTGCGCGCTCTCACTGCAAAGTCCGATCTGCACGCCATTCACAAGTACGGGACCGAAGACATGCCATTTCGCACATCGTCGCCCTCCCCGCTGACGACACCACCATCGCGTCTCTGGCTCCCCCTCGAGCACCGTGCGTTCGTCTCCCCGCCGTCCGATATGCTCTCGTGAACGTGCTTCGGAGCCATGCACCCTCAACACGCAGAGACGGGCGGACGTCTTGGGTTTCGCCCTTGCAGCGGGCCGGCACTGGCACTCAACCCGCCGACTCGCGGTCGTCGAGACGCATGCCGAGCACGCCGCACGGGACCGGCTGTATGTCGATGATGGCCAGGATTTCGAGACGGCGTGCTGGACGGCAACGAGCTGAAGACGAACACGGTGCGGACTTGGTACGACGATAAGAAGACAATCATCGTCGAGCGTTGCCTCGCAGAAGCATGTCGTCGTGCTGACTCGCCAGTCTATAACGTGCGGCGGCGGGCCTTCATCGCTACGGGTGTCGAGGCACCGTTGGACGAGGCGGTGCTGGACGGGACGTATGGTTCTGAGGTATGATATCTTGCATCCTTTGATCCCACTCTCATGATTTCTTTGTACTACTCACATTCAAAGCAACATATTTCTTCATTCTCCGGACGGCTTTTTAGCGTAACGCTGACGTGAGGACGCGAGAGCAATCCGAGTCAGGCGAGACCGCAGGGTCCCGAGGCTGGACGCTTTCGAACGTCTCCCCCGTGCGTCGTCACTGCGACGAGCCCCTTGCGCGCTCGCATGCCACATTCATACGCCAGTCGAATGTCTGCGACACGCGGCCGAGAAATGCGCAATGGTGCGTGCTGGGAGGACGTGTACCCCGCTGCGCCTTCTCTTATTCGCCGGTTACCGCGTCCGTCAGTGCTGGCGAACACTCATACCGACTTGGGCGGTCCACGCCGCTCTGTTCGAGGCCAGACCTTCACTCATCGTGTAGCGCACTCATTTCGGTCGTGCGCCGCTGGTCATGCATGCATGCGCCTCAGCAACCTCAGGCGCGCTCGGGACCTCACCAGCTGCGCAGCGTCGCATCACTCACGGTCTTCCTCGCCGTGCCTTCTACGTATGTAATCCTTAATCCAATATCCTCTTCCCTACGCTATCACCATCTACCCCAAACCCCCTTCAGGCCCATCCCTTCGGTCTTGATCAGCCCGGGCAGCCTGACCGCGACCGCAACGTGAGGAGAGGAGGTGGATGCGAGTCCGGCGGGTGCGTGCTTACCTGCTTGCGAGGCGATGAACGCGTTCTGTGCGGGAAGCAGCGTGAGCGACGGGCGATGGAGAGATGTGCGGATGGAATGGACTTACGAAGGAGCGGCGGGTGCCGCAGCGTCCGCGGGTCCGGGTCGGCGCGGTTCTTGTTCGCGTGTGCGAGGTGCGAGTCGTCCTGGTGCGTGTGGGTCGAGTCAGATGGAGCAGACAGTCAGCATGTGCAGCGTACCAGGATATTCCGAAGTAGCAGGTCTGCGTCGTGGATAGAGTCAGGGACGGGCTGTCCGGAAAGTCATGTGGACGGGACTTACGGGAGGAGCGACGGGTGTCGCTGTGTCCAAGGTCCGGTTCGGAGGGTTGCTGTCCGGGTACTTGCTTTGGTCTTGCGAGACATGGGCGTTTGGTGGCCGGGTGAAGAGCGGCATGCTGCGTCTGGGCGAGTCCTCAATGGACATCGTGCCAGCTGCAGAGCGCGGTGTGGGAAAAGATGTGCATGGGCACTGGTGAAGTGGAAGCGTGTTCGTCTGCGCTAATCCCGGGCGCGATATGCACGGGAGGGCGCAACGGTCAGTGCGTTCGTGTCAATGGTCGGGGTGGAGACTCGCATGCGTGCGCCACGCTATGACGGGGTGGGTCTTCAACGTTGAGACAGCGACCGTGCACTGTCTTGAAAGGCTGGATTGGGGTTGGTTGAGCATGTAGGAAGCGTCGATGGTTGCATCGGACGCAGACGTTCGAGGGGGTACAGAAAGGGCAATTTGCGGACAGACTGAGCACACGCGCTGGCCGGTTCAGCCTCACGGTCGTCCTCGGCAATCACGCTAGTCGTCGACGGAGTTGACAGACACGGGGAGAGATTCGCACCCCGTCATCGCAAGCCGGCCTCATGAGGGCATCACAGCGTCCGTCTAGAACGATGACATGGACGTGTCAGTGATTGCGCCAGACGTGGACATGCGATATCCACAAGACGGCGAGGGAGCGTCTTGCAAAGCAGCAGTCTGGCTGCAGCCGGAGAACTGGCAGTGAGCGCGTCCACGTCAGCGGCCGAGGGGAGAGGGACGTATATATGATGAGATGGCTCGTTTAGACGAGTCCTAAATGCCGTGACGCGGTCGTGCTGCCTCAGAAAGATCGCATCCGTCGGACAGAGCGGTTTGGGAACACTGATGGCTAGCGCCAAACACGGGCTTGCGAGGTCCTACGGGACAGACCGCGCGAAGGACGGGGCGTGAACGTAGCGACCGTGCGCTGGGCAGCTGACGATCAGGATGGCCCTGGGGAAAGCACTCTTGCAATGGCAGCGCGCTGTCTGAAAGATAGCTATGCATGTGAGTGATTGTGCCGAAAGTGGGCATGCGATACGCACACGATTCTTGCAAAGAAACGGTGGGCCGGGGCCGGGAACTTGCAGTTGGTGTATCCGCATCAACATCCGAGTCAAGAGCAACCTCGGGCTGGAAATGCCAACTAGGCGCCTGACCTCGACATAGAAAGACCGCAGAATGGGCTGGGCGACGAACATGTCTCGAATGCATTGGCCATGGGGTTGGAAAGCCGAGCATCGTAACAGCCCTGGACGACTGTGTTGAAGCTGTCGGCGCTACGCGTACTGGGTGGGAAAGGTCTCGCGTCGTTTAGTGTGGTGAGTGGAACACGTCCGTCGTGGCGTCAGACACAGGCACGGCGATGGTACATCTCGCGAATTCGGCAGTCTCATGCTGGCAAGCCGACTTTTGTGGCGCTCCTCTCGCGAGCGCGCTAAAGTCGTTAGTGACTGTTCATACATATTTTCGCTGCTCAATCGCATGAGGATGTTGATAACATTGTGCGTTGGCGATCGAAACTGGCGATCGTGAATTATTGACCGAGCGCGGGAGGATGCGACCGGCTTTGTCAACGAGGACTCCACTACTTCATCGCTGCTCGATTCACGGGCTGAAAATATTGCAGGTGGCGAGAACGTGTCTATATACCAGGAGACGTGAGCGCAAGCCAGATGACCAATCATTCTGTGCACTTACGGTTCGAGACGGTGCGAAACCGGGGCAGGAGGTGCGGTCGGGCTTGCTTATGCACACGCCGCACAATTACCGGAAACAAATTGGTCAGCAACGACGGGACATGAGCGGGACTCACCGAACATGGCCACGGTGAGTGAGGGGTGCGTGGACTCCATGGCGGGCATTCAGGACCAGTGTAAAATGAGAGTGGAGGAGACGACAATGTGCATGTGAGGGGTGAGAAGGCAGATGTGAGGAGGGGAGAGGAGATGCGAGGACGGGGGTAGACAATGCCAGCCATTCTCAAGCTTTTCTCACCAGGCATGCCGTATCACACAGGAAGTCTTCTGAACAGTCAGCAGGCAATGCTGCCGGTGCCGTGCATTTTGCAATTGCAACTTCCTTGGGCCAGATCAACGTAAGCGAGAGAAGGTCACTAAACCGGCTCACCTGCACACTCTCAGCGAACTTGAAATCAGGACGGATACTCGAAAGACTAGAGCGTAGGCAGTATGGTTCACGGTGAGGAATGCGATTGCATGGACGTTTCATTCGAGCACAAGCCGTCACCATTGCGAGTGTAGATACATGCGCTCGGCGCCTTGCTGCGTACTGCTCCAACGAGCTTCTCGAATGGTCCATGACTCGAGAGCAGTCTCACGAGAGTCAATAGAAGGCAGTTCAGATGTAAGTGTACATGCAGGAGGAATAAGTGCAATGTGCCGAGGTTGGGCCTCCTCCGTGCAGACTCGGGCCAGTTCATTAATGAACACCAATTGTGGCTCTTGAGATGCACCAGAAGTCATCCGAAGTTGTACGTATATTAATGATCAGACCTTGAAGAACCAAGAAGGCCGGGCATCAAGGGAAAACGCACCCACGAGATTGCCTTCGCGCGACCAGACAGCCATCGGATTGATGGATCGCGCACTGATCTGCAACGTTTCCTGTCACGCGTCACTCACCGATGGGCCCAGAATCGACGAACCGAGCTGAGCTGACTGGGTCGACAAGTTCATCCGGAGGAAGCTCGGAGTTCGCAATGTTGGCGTGGGTGTGGCCAATTGAAATTAAACCCTACCCTGGAACGGAAGTGAGAACCTGTCAGATTTGGAACCCCGCTATGGTGGCGGTGGCACCCTCTAGGCTTGGGCTTATCTCCTGCACAGCTCGGCTGTACACCGGCCTGGTATGAGATGATCTGTCAAGCTCCATGTCCCGTGCCACTCTGACCAGCGTTGTGCAAGACTGTGCAGGTGATGCATAGGTAACCAGTCAAAGAGCTGTAATTTCGATTTGTGCCGGCGATTTTCACATCAATGAGAATCATATCGGACAACGCATCTGAGCAGAGTCATCCAGAAAGAAAGAAGACGACACGGCATGGTAGATAACAGTGATATTCTGATGCGAACTTTACTGCAGCCCATCAGAATATGAAACGAGATGCCGGTGCATCCATGAGAGTCGGATTCCATCTAGAACATCTCTGAGAGGTCTACCATGCAATGCCGCCCTCTATGACAAATTTGAGAGTGATCTGACACATTGTTCACGCCCATTCCTGTGAACACTTTTTACCCCGCACCTCTTCCTCCCTCTCAGCTTTTTCCTCCCTGTTCCTCCATACCATGCTCCCCCTATTGTATAAGCTCGGATCCTTGCTGGGATGGCTCACCTGTGTCTGTCATGGTGGCCCTGACCATGCAAGCTCTACACGGGCTCGAGATCTCCAAGTTCAAGAAATGTAGAGCGTCGGACCAGTGAGCGTGTTGCTGCGGTGCACCAGTCAGTCTCAGAGGTAAGTGGTATATCTAACGGTCTTAGGAGCCCGGTA